CTCCTCCCCCCCCCCCCCCCCCCCCCCCCCCCCCCCCCCTCCCCCGACTGATATATACGGCCAGCATCAAATCCTCTCCACGTCTTTCCCGTCCCTTCCCTTGTCCTCCTCAACCTTGACGCCTCCCGTCGGTTTTGGCTAGAAGGGGAAGAAGAGATTGGGGAAAATCGATTAAAGTCTTCTCAATTCCGTACCTCCATTCCTTTCACCTGCAGCTCATGAGCCGCTTCCGACCAACAGCCAACAGCCAACAAGCGACTCTCGTTCGAATCCGTCGACGGCTTGCAGCCAAAGACAGATAAATCATCTGAGACGACCATCTTACTTCCCCGACCCCTGCTGCAGTTACACTGGCCCATCGACAGCATAGCCAACGTGCATATCTTGGGACCCAGGTGGCCACCGTTACCACCTAATTCAAGTGGGTTCTTCCGAGAAAATCACAAACCAGACAACGTTGGAAGCACGGAAAAAGTACTCTGAGAGGAGAAAGGAGCGAGACAGACAAAAGAAGAAGAGAGAGAGAGAGAGAGAGAGGGAAGACGACGGCAACAGAACAAGGGCACGATTATTATTATTATTACGGAGACTTTGGGGTCATACACAAGCCGTGACAAACAACCGTGAAACAAGGGGGGTGTGTGCGCAAAAGCCCAACACGCACACGCACACGCACACACATACACACACACGCACGCACACACATACACACACACACACACACACACACACACACACACATACCAGAAAGGAAGGGGTCCAACGGACTCGTAGAGTATACAGGCTGAGAGTATACGGAGTATACACAAAAAAAGAAAAGTACGGGCTGAAGAAGAAGAAGACGAACAGATTATGAGTATGCCGTACCGTCGCCTGGACCCGAGCAAGCAAGAGATTCGGTTGCTAGAGCTCCACCCGGCTCGCGGTATCAATGACGATGTCGAGGCTCGGCTCGTGACGGTGCGTCTGACGGACAAGCCCGACTTCATCGCGCTGTCGTCCCTGTACGGGGATGCCAACGAGACCGACAGGGTGTACGTGGGAGGGCGGCCGGTCGAGCTGCCCTCCCACCTGGTGCAGGGACTGAAGCACGTCCGTGCCGTCTTCTACCCGACCATCTCGCTGCGGTACCAGAGGAAGCCGGCCCGCAAGCCTCACGGCGCGCCCCGGTGGCTCCGGCAGCTGCTGGGCATGTCGTCCAGCAAGGACAGCAAGACGTACTACGACCCTGACAAGCCTCGCATGCTCCGCGTCTGGCTCGACATCATCTGCGTCAACCAGGGCGACGAGGGCGAGAAGTCCCGTCAGCTGGTGGAGATGAGGGCCATCTATCGGTCGGCCGAGCTCGTCGTCGGCTGGCTGGGCGTCAAGGCCGAGACCACCGACGCCGCCATGTCGTGCCTGTCGGACATCGAGGACGCCATGCCGGCCCGCTGGGGAGACCCGGGAGACCGAGAGAAGAACCCGGACGACTACGCTCCCACCCACAGGTGGGCGTCCACAATCACCTATCTCTGGGCCGTGGGCCCCAAGGGGGAGTCCCCCTTCACCCTCCCCCACTGGGCCGGCTGCCATGATTTCATGAGCCGCCAGTACTTCCAGCGCCGCTGGATCCTCGAGGAGATCTCCATGGCTCGCTTCCCCTGCTTCCTCATCGGGGACATCATCGTCCCGTGGAAGCAGATCCTCCGTCTCAACCGCATGATGGAGGAGTTCAAGAACAACGATTCCAACGTCTGGCCTGCGGTATGTCTCCGTCGTCATCACCCCGAGTCCCTGCATCTCGCACGTCTCATCTCGCCCTACCCGTCCGGGTGGGTGTGTGTCTCCGTCTTGATATTTTCACTGCATCGTATTCTAGCTTGCTAACTCTTTTTTTTTTTTTTTTTTTGGGAAAACCCGCCCACAGCATCTCAAAGGCATGATTACTGAACTCCCCCTGGAGACGGCCCACAAGCTTCTTGACGAGTTTGCCAAGAAGGAAGCCCTGGAAGATGCCAAGATTCTTCGGGATCATGATAGTAGGACTACGTCTTCCACTCGGTCTGACTCCAACTCCAACGTCTAAGCACGCGCACGCACACGCCTCCCTCTCACTCTCATCCGACCCGTCAACTCACTCGCCTTCCTTTCCTTTCTGAGACAAAATCCCCTTTACATCTTATCTTATTTATTCATTGTCCATTGCATCTCTAGTCATATCCTTCCCTCCTCTCCCTCTCCCCCCCCCC